TTTATTTTATATTATAATTTGATAAATAACAATTCTAATTAAGCTCGAGTTCGTAAAAAAGTAACTCGAGTTGACTCGTCGTGGGAGTAACTCGAGTTAAATAACTCGACTCGCCTATCGCTATATTGGTGCATAGTAGTTAAGCCGTATCTTAATTATGTACTTTAACTAATTAAATTTGAGCTTTCAAGTCACACAATTCTGCTTATTATACGACGTATTTCTTATTGTATGACATATTTTTTATTTTATATTATTATTTAATAAATAACAATTCTAATTAATAATTGAAACCTCGACCTACCTCTTCTCTTATTGTCATACCAACGGACCACATGTCATACCTAATAAACGGCTCATATGTGTAGCATTATTTTAATTTTAAGATATGTACCATATGAATGCAATAAATATATTGAGTATTAACGCACCACGATTACCAATAAAATTAATTGTTATTAGTTTTATATACTCGTAATCAGGATATTTAAGATATTCAAATAAATAACGAATTGAAATTTCGATTGCTCCAGATGCGGTTTGACGATGGAGCATCTGATGAATACAGTGGGCATTCACCCCACTGTGGCGGAGGAGTTCACTCGCCTCAACATCACCAAGCGCTCCGGCAAGGACCCCAACCCTGCATCCTGCTGCAGCTAAACTATCAACCACCTTGTATACTTAAAACTTGCACTACACCTACATACTGTAATCTAGTAGTTCCTGCGGACCAATGTTATACACATTTGTAACGTTATCTTAACCAAGACACTAAAAGATCTCGGGACTTGCCCAGGCTTCGGTATTCGTAATTAGCTATAAAAATGTACACGGTTCACGAACTTAGATTATTTATTATACCGTCGAATTAATGTCAAACAAAATTATCGAATATAATATCCTCCAAGTACTGAAAAAATAGTGTACTACTTAATGTCGGATAGTTGTAAAGTTACTTGTTTCAAAATGTCTTAAAAGCATGAAAAAATATAATTATTGGCGATATGTAGAGAAATAAGCTACTCAAAAGTAGTTTTTATGCTTTTATAGATAGGATTGTTTGTCGTTAAAGCGACGATGCAGATGAACGTTATAAATGTGTGTAACATTTCATTACAGACCCCTGAGATTCTTCGTTAAAACGGGCAGTAAGAATTACTTGCGTAAGCCTAAGATATTTGTTAAATTGGGCAGTCAGAATCATTTACAAACGTCAAAGATCAATCATGCATTCAGAATCAATTGTATCGCCTAAGAGTCTTTGTTAAATCGGTCAGTAAGAATCTATTGCATACACCTAGGATTCTTTGGTAAATTGCCAGTGTGAATGAATTGCATGCACCTAAGATGTCAAGTTGGCAGTAAGAATCAATTGTATACCCCTAAGCTTCTTTGTTAAATCAGCCAGTAATCAATTGTGTAACATTATATTTTCCGAAACGTATACCAACATTTATTAATGTTAGGTATCTGTGGATCTCAGGAAGGAAACACCACGTACGTGAATACCGTGCTGTATACATACCTTTTATAGATGGAATTAACGAGGTGTCCAAGAGAATACGTGTTACTTTAGTTTATTAGCTGAATTAAGATACGAAAGGATGCTAAATAAGACGCACCCTGTAAATACTCCGGAAAATAAGGCTTTTCAGTAAAATATTTTTGTTATGTATAATAAAATTATTATATGTTTACAACCAAGTTTACCTTACGCCGTCTAAAAGTATTAGCCGCGCATTTCGAAGAAATAATTTGTTACTTTTAACTTGTTAATAGTTAGGGTTGTCTTATTGGAGCATCGACTACAAATTAGATCTATTCTATATGATAGTACAAACCAATTAAATGTGTAAAATGAATTGTTGCCTCCATTGAGGAATTTGTGAACAAAACTTTATGATATTATTGTTATGTGATTTGAAATTGCATTATTGCACAAGCAGTATTAAGTCTTGACACTATGTTTAGGTTATTCGGCACTTTTGGTAATATTCCTTACGCACGGACAGGTTTTTTTAATTGTTAACTTATAGCTACAGTAACTGTATTTGTGATTTTGGAACTCTTCATTGAATAAAGTGATATATTTTTATTCATAAATTTTTTTTTATTTGTTACCTCTGTACTGTAAGGTAAAATTATACAAAATGAACCTATACCCCTAGCCAAATTCAAAGTAAAGGAAGTTTATTCCTTTATAAGGTTTATTCCTTATTCCTATTTTTTTCCATCCTCTAAGGTTTATTCCCACTAGCTCTTTTGATAGAAGTACTGGTACTTTTCTTTAGAGATGGGAAAAACTGCTTATTTTTTTAACGTTATGCTTTTTTAAACGTTCTTTCACTTAAAGCTAACAATATCGTTTAGAAAACCTTTAAGCGCATAGACTTTTATGTTTAAAAAAGTTTGCAACGTTGTGTTCATAGCGAAACGCAAGAGTAGACCCCTAATCGTATTTCAGAACTGAAGGTTTTAAGAAGCATTGACCTACCAATTAAGGAGGTAGTTTTTTTGTAAAAAAAAAACGAGATTTTTTATTTAACTTAACATTATTATAGTAACAATTTGGTCATTGGCGTTAAAAGGCGTTCAAAAACATAAGTTCTTTAACTTTTGTAGTTGTTAACTGTTGAATGGAAAAAACTGCTTATTTTTTTATGTTAAAACGTACATCTAAAAAGCGTGATTGTAAAAGCTTTTCACTTAGAACGCTTTTTAGTTTGACGCTTAAAAATTAATTTGTTTAGGAAACATAGATGGCGCTACTTGAAACTTAGGCATATTGTAAAAAATGAAATTGTTGAGTAGCTATTTTCCATCGTCTAAGACCTATAAAACTGACCAGTGACCAACGCTTACGCTTAAAATGAAAAGCGTGCTTATGCGCTTATTTTAAAAAGCAGACTTAAAGTGCTTTTCGTTTAAATGCCCTCCTCTACTTTTCTTCTCATTTGTTCTGTTAAATGAATAGACAGTTTTCTTCACGGAACTACTGAGAATTTTCTCGCTCACTACTGTGTACGAGTTTTCAGTCTGGAGCTGTACCTATAAACGTTGTTAAAATAAAATTTGCCATATTTCCACGCCTGTTTGGCACTGCACCTATATTCCCATAGATAATAGCAATATCTTGCGCAAGTCTAGTCGTGCTAGCCCTACAGATGTGGTTACTGTTCCACTACATTTGGTTTTCTTAAAAGCACAAATATAACCGATAGTATTCATTCATGACCGTTTTCTATTGGAATTTAAGCGCAGGCCACACCGCGAACAAAGCTAATTCAAGTAGTTGTATGCAACCAACCATGCCTGCTAACTTAGCTCACGCAGATGCATACAAAGTGGGGTACAGGTCTCGTATCTACTACACATATACACATTTTCGAATGTTTGCAATCTCTCCTTTCCAAAAAAAAAAAAACAACTGATAGGATGGATAACATTAATCAGAAACACGACTTCAAGATTAGCATAATAAGTGTCAATAGCCTAATGAAATGTTGAGGGTAAAACTAGGAGAAAATCCTAAATATCATGTTTTTGTGTTTGTTGAGATCGTCGAGTATATAACCAGAAATAGAGACGAAATAAGGGCCATATATTCCTGGTAACACATCAGCTCTTATAAATATCAATTCTCGTTTGCACTGAAATATAGGCAGGCCAACTACTGACCTGTGTATATGACCTGACTGGCGTATATTCCAAAAAATATTATGTATTTATTGTAATAAAGATAATATTTTTACACTAACAATGCCGTGTTGTTCTATTCGGTGGTGTGGGAAAAACAGCAAAACATCTAATTACAAAACAAACGGAATCACATTTCACCGGTAATTAAATATTAAATACGTAATTTTTCAATTTTCGTCCATTATAGCAAAGCTCAAGTTAACTGGTCGATTCGAAGTGAAACAGTTGACGACACCCGACAATTGTTTCGAACTCGGGCTAGCCAATCGGAGCGCTGTTGTCACAGTAATGATATGGCAGAATAGTTTTCAAATTTAATCACATTTCGCATTGACTTACAAATAAATGGACGACGGATCTAATACAAAAACCACGAAAAAAACGTCCCAAGTCAACCTATTCGAAATTTAAATTGTAATGTCATCGCAGTATCGCGCTGTCCGTAGAACAAATGAAGACTAAAGCGGAGTGTCGCGCTCTGTATACGATTTTAGCGCCTTACAAGTGCGGACACTTTTTAGCGCGGACCCGACGTCCATATAATTCTAAGTCAATGACATTTCGTCTTTATTTCTGGTTCTATACTCGACGGTTGACATTTATTATGTATATCGAATTTACGACTAAAAAGAAACTAAATGAAATAAGTCAATTTTCAACTTTATTAAAATTAATTAAATATTCCATTATCATTAATTTAATACTTACAAAAACAAATTTCCACTTTCATTTGTCAAGTTTAAAAAAATAACTAAAATCAACCCCATACCACTTCAATGGTATTTTACTTGTGAAATTGATTCGCAATAACATAAGAACTTTTAGGCCCCCAGAGGCATTTAAGTATATTCTTATATTCCGCCCTCACATCGGCAGAGATGTCAAGCAGTTTCACCATTTTATTATCAAGCGGATTTTTTCAACTCTAACAAAATGAATTTTATAGGCAGCGTTCAAACTATATACGAGCAAAAAAACAGTCCCAAGTCTGCTAATTTTAAATCATCACAGTTGAGTGCTTATGGCCGAATTTTGTACGTTCAGTATTCTGATAAGAGTGGTTACACACGGCAAACACGCGTCCGTAAAACATGCGATTGTATCGCTACGATTGCACGATTGCATCGATGCAATCATCTATAAATCGCAAGTGAAGCGATGCAATGGCGCGTTTGTATCGATGCAGTCGCGCGCTTGCATCGCTTAAAATCGCGCGTGTGTAAAGGTAGACGATTAGCAACCTAAGAAAGAGAGATGGAAGTCAAATGCGCACTTATTACCTCTCTTAAGGCTTGTCAGTGGGTAGGCATCGAGCTACTACACATTGTATTTTTTTGGTATTCTGCTCTTTAATGTCGTGTCGAGTCGACGGCACGTCGATGACGTAGGTTTAATTATTTAACAGAAAAAAATACATTCAATTTGAAGACTAAAATTGTAGACAGAAATTGAGATACGGATAGTAATTCTCGATCCTTCGGCTAAATTTATATTGAGGCCATCGAGTACATAACCAGAAATAGCGGCGAAATAAGGGCCATCCATCCCTGGCAACTCATCAGGCAAATGGGCCTTATATCACTTGTAAATATAAACACACGTTTGCACTGAAATCACAAATTCGAAAGCTGAAATAGTACAGCGCCAACAACTGACCTGTGTGTACGTCTCCTATTCCAAAAATATTATGCATTTACTTCAATAAAAATAATATCTCCAACAATGGGCTGTTCCATTCAGTGGTGTGGAAAAAACAGCAATACATCTAATTACAAAACAAACGAAATCACATTTCAACGGTAATTAAATATGTAAATTTAAATTTTCAATTTTCTACCATTACTACTACTTGGTGCAACGGGCTGGTTTCCGCAACTCGACGACAAAGCGCCTATTTTGCGTGTGGTATTTTCTACCATTATAGCAAAGCTCAAGTTAAACTGGTCGATTCGAAATTAAACAACCGACGACGCCTGCCAAATTGTCACCGTAATGATTTGGCAGAAGAGTTGTCAAACAAATTAAATGACATTTCGTTTCTATTTCTGGTTATATACTCGATGATTGGCGGCGGAACGGAATGGAAGCCAATTTTTTTAACGGTATTGTACATATTATAATAAGCCAAAATCTTCCGCGGAATGCGCGAACTTTCTCGAGAATGTTTGTGTATTCCGTGTAATATTTACACTCATATATAGTTTGTATTGACCATAAAGTTCATTATGCTATGTACAATATCGTTACAAAAATTCACTTCCATTCCGTTCCGCCGCAAATGCCTTAGTGATGAGAGTGAATTTAATGCCATTACTGCCATTCCACTGACACTGTATTGAGACTCAACTGCCATTGCAACGGATTTTAGCAGAATAATACATATTTTCATAACTACAATGTAATCACAGTGGAGTCTCACTGGAACTGCAATGGCCAGCAGTTAAAAAAAAAAATTTGCAGAATTGGGGCCCAGGTCGCGTGTCATCCAGTGAATTCTCAGCATATCTCGCTTATAGTTATCTCGCATCATATCTAGTTTTGAATGTTACACAATTGAAAAGTTTATAATGCCATGTACAGTCAACAGCAGATCAAGCTACACAATGACGTATCTTGTTCCGTTGCACTGAAGGCGATTTTCGAACAAAAATGTGTAGTCTGATGCGCTATTGTCCGTGCAATTTCCGTTACAAAATGATAAAAATATCCAACGGAATTAAGGGTCTGACGCAGTATACACAATATAAAATTCACACTCCTTATTGCTGTTAAAATTACAATTACTAATGCAAGTATTAGGCTAAAATCTCTCGTTTGCATACAGTCAGCAGCTCACAAAACTGACCCACCACAACATTCATTATGTTTGTGTAGGTTTTCGTTTTTGTAATGCTGGCTGTACAAATTTATGAATATTTACAATACCAAAGGTAAGTCACTTGTTATATAACAGTACATATTCTGAAGCACACAGTCATAAAAACTAATCACATATATTAAAATGAAAATGCTGTACTCCATCACAGACAAACAAGGTTCTTGCTCAAGTCATGCAATATTTTAAATATTTGTGCAATACGAATTTAACATTGAAAAATTGGTTGTAAAATATAAAATCACTTTTTTTCATGTCATAAAAATTAGAATAAGTGCTTTATAATAATATTTTGTTTCATTCTGTCTCAATGCTACCAAGATTGTACTAACAGTTGCAAATATACATTTATATTTTTTTACTTTTCTCTTTACATTAACGGCTTTGTGATAAAATTGTGGAAAAATCATTTTATGATTGATTTTCAAATGAAACTATTTTTTCATCTGACTCAGTTGCCCTTGACTATGGGACCCCCAAGAGCCCGAAACATTGATTACTTTTGAAAGAACAAATATAAGAGATTTTGATCTAAAAAATAGTTTCATTTCCAAATCAAATACAATAGTTGTTATTTACGAGCATTAGATAATCCTTCTTACAATAATTCTGTAACAAGGATTGTAACTTTAGACCATTTGCCATACCGACCACATACATGTACACCGTAATGTTATTAATTTTGGATGCAAATACTCGCCATAACCTGATCTCAGCAAAACCTTTAAGATCAGCACGACTGTTGCCAGTCATTTTCTAAATGCAAGCTTATAAATAAAATTCACATCACACCGCATAAAACTCTGTCATGAATAACACAATTTATAATAATTGTCCAAAACCCTCAGGTGTCCATACAGCAAGTTTGTCAAGGGTTTTATTTCATAATTTTGCCTCAGTCAGTTTTTAACCGTTTTGCTGGTGTTGTGGTGCCACTACTCTGCGAGTTGGAGTCTTCAGAGAAATTCATGTGTGTGGAGGAGAACTCTGTAGGACCTTGTGAGTCACTCACTGTTGAGAAACCTGTAATGTAACAAAAAAAAAATGTATATTAATAGCAGTAGAGTTTCAATAAAGCGTGAAAGGGGTTGTCTGGGAAAGTATTGCTACCATATCTATTCCTGTAGCCCAGCAGCAATGTGAGCATACTGTGTATCAGTTAGGAACAGTATTCATGAAACTAGGCACACAGGACTTATCAACTTCACATCTCCTAGTGATGGGTGCTGTAGCAGTGATGCTCAGATGTATGTTTCAAGTTTTTTGAGTGGCACTGCAACTGTTTAGGGTAGATGTGTCGCTTACTACAGGGCCACTCATATTACCATTGAGAATATAACCAGAAATATAGACAAAATATTATTTAATTTGTTTGAAAACTATTCTGCCAAATAATTACGGTGACAACTGAGCTTCGAATGGCCTGCCCGAATTCGAAACAATAGACAGGTGTCATCAATTGTTTCACTTCTAATCAACCAGTTTAACTTGAGCTTTACTATAATGGACAAAAATTTAAAAGTTACATATTTAATTACAGATGAAATGTGATTCTGTTTGTTTTGTAATTAGATGTTTTGCTGTTTTTCCCACATCACCGAACGGAACAGCTCCCCATTGTTAGAGATATTATCTTTATTACAATAAATACAGAATATTTTTGGAATATGTGAAGATGTACACACAGGTCATTTATAGGCGCTGTACTATTTCAGCTTTCTAATTTGTGTTTCAGCACAAATGAGAGTTGATATTTAAAAGTGATAAAAGGCCCATTTGCCTGATGAGTTGCCAGGAATGGCTAGCCCCCATTTCGTCACTATTTCTGGTTATATACTGAATGCATGTCACTTGAAATTTCAAATGAAAATGAAATGAAAAATCAAATGAAATTTTGGCATAACATATTATGTATATGCAAGATATAGATTTACGCAGGAAACAGCACTTAATAATTGCGTGTTACTTTAGCTACTTAGAATGGTTTTTATTTAATATTCAGATAATAATTACAAGTACTGAACCCTATAAAAATGTACAGTAATCATAGTGTTACAATACAATATGGATTACTTACAAGTGTTGGAGTCCTCGGCCATACCAAAGTTAGAATTTGAGTTGGAAGAGTCATGTGTTTTCTTCGGCGTCAGTGTGTTCTCCTTGTTTTCTCGTTTTGCAGCATGTTTCTTCTTCTGTTCATTCGTCGAAATAGGTACCCATTTGTAAATTTTCATCGTAGTCTCCCCAATCGTCACCCATTTTTTCTCCCTATAAAATTAATAAATTATCATTTACTGGCATTTTTATCACATAAAAATGGAAGACAAAAAATTCTTACCAATGGCGAACTTTTTCAACAGCTTGCATGACCCTTTTGATGTCATCTTTAACACGATTTCTCGTTTCGGCGCGTACGGAACGAGACATTTTGAGTTGGAAATAATCCTTTAACAAAACAAGCACTAATTCACAAACTTTCTTATAGAATTACTAAGTTTTAGAGAGTTCATAAATTTGGATTTCCAAGCACTAACAGCAACAATTTTTTATTCATCCGCCATTATTTGACAGTGGGCAAGGGGGAATGAGAATGGAGGAGAAGGGCGAGGAAATACAATCGACAGAAAAAGCGTTTTGTTACGAGACTGGTTAAAATAACTACATCTTGTTTCACAAAATATAAGAAGTAAAAATTAATGATAAATAAAAGCTACATCAAACATAAAGAAAATAATAATACATAAAAAAGAGAAAAACATAGAAATTAGTTGAATTTTAGTAGAAACATAATAATCACTATACTTCGAACGCAGTAGAAACAAAACGATAATCATGTCTATGGTATTTTACATACTCTTGATTGGGCGAAAATTACTGCAAGCTTTAGCAGCCAATCACAAAAATAGCAAAGACAATGAAAACAAACTTCCGAACTTTCATGCAATTTTCTTTCAAGGGAAACAAAAATAAAAAATATCAATGTATATGTAAAATTCGGGACATTTTCATCCTAAACTGAAAACATTTAATTTCAAAATATTAAAGTAATATGGTCATAATGTTGTTATAAAACACAGGTAAGCTTATTTCCAGGTTTCAAAATTATACGGTCGATAACTTACAGAAAGCTAGATCATGAGTTTTACACAAATTATTTTTGACTTATGTATTTAGCGGCTGTCAGTTGTTTTACGTCTTATCCAAATCTTATTAGAATTTATCTTGCGAGTTACTTCCTTGAAAAATAATAAAATTTTATATTCGTTTTCATGCAACCAGCCAGCTTGGTATGTACATCGATTATGATGATGCAACGAGATAAGGTGCAAAATTCAACTATTTCGACAGCCTGTGCTTCTTCGTGAATGTTACGCTTTTTTATACACTCACTCTTCATTTATTTTGAACTTTTATTGATCCCGTGACATATAATGTTGCTTTTCGCAACAGGATTTCAACATAACCTCAAAAGATGTTAATTCGAGCCTATTTATACAGCGGCACATACCAATTCCTTTGGACCAACGTACGCTGCCTCCAATACAAATTCGTAATACCCCACCGTACCGTAGTAGCACTAGAAATCCTAGTTTCTTGAAAATGCTTTTATATGGTATAGCTAAACTACCATTTAAACACTGTTTATTTCTGTTGCTCACGTTTTAAGCCTTTTATTTTTTGTTGCAGTCGAACCCTGCATGTTGTATTTGAAGCTTAGAAGTGGTAAAGTGACTATATTGTTGGCATTTTCGCCAAAAGGTTCAGCTAACATCAACCGTGCTTTCCTTCCCGTATGGCTGCATATGTTAACCGTTCGGTATCGATGATGGCTGGCGACGGGCCCCACAACGTCGCACCGCTTAACAATGGGGCTGTCCGTGTCAATATGTCGAATGTCGACTCCCCGCTGCAGATTTTTGTGCGAGCTAAGAAGAAAATTAATGATATATTTGTTGAGATTGATGACTACGTCAAGGATGCTGTCACTTTCATGCATGGTGAGTTGTATTGTTGTTTGTCACTTGTTTTATACTTCGTTTCAATCCATTTTAAACAAAAACTAAACAAACAAGTCACTGACCTGACCATTGACGGTTTAGTGATGGCCAATTGTAACGCCAACTACAAATCTATTAATTAATTCAATAAATCGATTTGTTCAATTGAGTCATACTAGTGCTTTTCCTTACATAACCTATATAAACATATTTAAAATTTCAATTTAAATTCTCCTTCAAGTCCTTACACTTAGATACTCGTTTGATTGCAATTGAAATGTTCGCTTTAATAATCAATTACTAAACTGTAATTGATTGAACTGAATGTTTTTTTCGAAAGCACTATGCAATCATAGGCAAGTCATAGAAGTATAGAGGAATAATAACCTCACTTTTGGACTACCGTTTTTCAAATACGATTTTACGATGCTATTCAAATGAATATTGTTGGAAAAAGTGATGATATATCAAGTCGAAATCTTCGAAATATATGTCATTGTGACACTCATTTCTTTTATTGAGTGATTGCTTTAGAATTTTAACCAAACAGGTTTGTTTACTTTTTGTTCAAAATGGATTGGAACAAACTATAGTACCTAATTAATCTAGAATTAGAGGTCGAAATCAGATTACAAAATTTTGGCATGTGCATTTCCTTACTTTCAAAATCCTATAAATAAATATTAGACAACATCACATACTTTGCTTAGATCCCAAAGTAAGTGACCAAAGTACTTATGGAAATCAGAAACAATAAACAGTACTACAAACACTCGCACCTGAGACAACATAGAAAGATAGTTTTTGTACATTGACCCAGCTGTCATTAATTTGAAAATGCAGCTTTAATTGGAGGAGCTCTTGCTGGAGATGTGACTCTACACACCACAAATCACACCCTCATCAGCTCATAGTCGTACCTACTGATCGCAATATTACACAATGAACAAACATTGAACTGGCTAGGTATCGAACCTGTATAGTTTTCTAGCTTGTAAAATACATAACATAATATGCAAATGACTTATGGAAAGGTAGTAAGTATTATTAAGGATGATTTGTATGTATGGTTTTGTCATTATCGCACAATGATAGCACTCTTTGATAAATAAAAAGAAAAAATTGTCTATGATCTGATTTCAAAGAAAATCTGATTAGTTTGCACTTCTTATAAGCAATGAAATGGCAATAACTATTATTTAGATGTCTTCCTACTACTTTTGTTAATCCTTACAATGCTCAAATGTGTGTTTAAATGGGTGTTCAGCGAAAATGTTGAATATCACTGTTTTTAGAATCAAGCAGGGCTAGCACGACAAGGTTGATAGCCACATCTGCCATTGGTTTTTTCAACAAATAGTTATAAAAATATTGAGTTCTTAGGTTTCGCGATTGTTACACATTGGAAATGAAGCTATTTTTCAGATCTAAATTGCATGTATTTGTTTTTTCAAACCAACCAACATTTCGGGCCCTTTGCAAGTCCTAGTCAGCCATAACCATGGGGCCTGTAACGGGCCCGAAACATAAGTTTGTTTGAATAAACCAATTTTTCTGGGTTTCATACACGAAAAAATGTTTCAAGTGCATTACCAGTCCCATTGTGGCCATGTTTCATTTCTAATATCGGTAACAATATTTCAGAAGTAAAAATCTTATTCATATAACTGTTGCAAGATTGTATCAATTGTTTTGTGGAATGGGAGCATAAAATACTCAATTCTGTACTGTTCTGATACTTTTATGTCTACAATATAATACAGTTGTACAATATCATTCTCTACTGTTATCTTACCTTGATGGAGCAATATCTAATCGTACCAATCATGCCAGTATTTCGCTGTAAAAACTTTTGAGCAAATGTTTCTATGCATTGTGTAATCTGAGTAAATAGGGCATCACGCTTGTCTCCCACTGGTGTAGACAGAGATCACTCACCTCTGCCTACTCCGAAAAATATGCTTGAAAAATAATTAACAAGTCAATATGAAATACTCTATTCCAATTTTACTAAATCAAAAGGATTAATTAACTAAGGGTGGCTTTAAATTGGTGACTATATTTTTTTTAAAAACACAGTGGCTAAGCGACGTCTGTCGGCCTGCGTAGAGCGAAGTTACAGATAGCAATGCAATAGAACTTCAATTTCACTACATGAAGTTTATATTTAGCTGCACCTTCTTTTTATTTTATTTTTTGTAATGTTTTGTAACAGTTGCGTCGCTCGTTTTAATGCAGGCAGCGTCGCGTCGCATCCTTAGATCAATTTGAAGCGACCCTGAGACCCGTATCAAATAGCTCAGAAACCAAAGTGAAACTGGCAAAAATGTCATATTATCACCTTATTTAACTACAAAACAATAAAAACAAAAAGAAAGTGTTAAAAATATGACATAATACAATTTTTAAGTCATACTATTGTAAGTAAGTATTACTATTGAATTTTACACCACACCCACTTCGTCGTACATCAGGTCAAGAGCAATCTTATGTGACAGTGTACACCAATATGTTGACTTTAGTAGTGATGCGTCCATTTTAATTGACCTTGTATGCCAATCATTGTTGTGCAGATACTGCAGTGCTTGTAGTACTACTGCTGATACACATAAATGTATACACAGGCATACATACTATCACGACTGTTTCCCATTAGGGTAGGCACAAATTAAGGATGTCCACTTTGGTTTAATGGTCACGCAACGAGTTGTCTGAATTTCAGCTTATTAATAAATGTCGTTCAGTAGTAACGGGTCTCTTGAGATGATATCATCCAGATGCTGATGATTGTAATCTATTAAAACGCGAGAGCTCGAGAAGCATCACGAGATAAGACTGATATCTTAGCTGATACGCACTTAACACTGGACTTAACGCTGTTTATTGATCTGACAATTATCGTCACGTCAAGTAACTTCTGAATTTCCTTTTAAGTTAAAAATAAAATCCTTTTATATTCTCAGAAAACTTGTAGTCGCATAAATTTAAAATTGTGTAATACCGAATATGACGAAAATCTAAATATAACGAAAAATATTATAGGTGTTAAATGTGACTTAGTCACTTATTACAGAAGTTTTGAAAGTTACTCGCCATTTTTCTAAAACGGTTTTAATTCGACATTTTAGTTAAATTACATTTGGGTATGAAATAACAGTCATTAATCAATAAAACCTATTTCGACCAAACCATTATATTTTAATTTTCAGTAAAAACCCGATAAAAGTATTTAAAGTTACCCAACTAGACTCTATATGAATGTCGGAATAAAACCGCAAGAGACACGTTCAGGGGCACACACTCATCAGTGATTTAGTTGGGAATTAAATAAAAAACTTATGTGGATGGATAATTAGCATATTCACTTTTCGTTATCAATTCGTTGAATCGGCAATGGAATAATAACGTCAATTGGTTGCAATTAATTCGCTTAACCACTTTTCACAGTAATTAGTTTGAAAGTACAAAAGATGAATTAGGTTCGAACAGATTTTAAATGTCACAGGGCGAATTCACAGGGCGCGACCGCGCTCGGCTGTTCACTTTCCAAGTAACTCAAAAAAGCCCATCTTGTCAATGGATACAAGTTTATAAAACATGACCATTAACTTCCTTATCATCGTATGGCAATCCAGCCAACGATCATGTCATTATATTATTATTATTAATTATTGTAATTGGTGTGTCTTTAATTATTGTAATCTGTAATAAATTAAAGTAAAAATAAATAAATAGGACCATGTCAGATGACTGATTAAACTCTGCGACCTCACCCAATTTCAGCTATCAAACTAACGTCATGTTTTTTACTTTAATATCTCTTATGTTTACTTAAGTTGTTACAAATTTGTGGAGGAAATAAAGAATTTACTTACTTTACTTACTATAAAGAAACCATGATCGAGACTAGTTAACGTTATTTGAAGATAGCATAAAATCGTTTCTCTAATAATTACAAAACACGCAATAATATTATCTAAGATTTATACTTTCGTAAAGCACATTACGTAAACAATAAACCGAATTCTGTTACATTACGTTTATATGATAAGTGGCTCCTGCATGTATTTGTTTGTAAATGCAATTTGTGTGTGATCTGAAGTATAGTAGTGATATATTGACGTTATCACATTGCAGCGGTATCCGGCGAAAACGGTATAGCCTCACAACAAGATGTCACAAACGTTGAGGGTTACGTCAACAGAGTGCAGGCCATCCGGGAGGTACTTAAGCGGGATCACATGAAAGTTGCCTTTTTTGGAAGGTAAGCACAATACAATGTTCGTGAATATAATGTGCGGCATATGCACACGTAGCATAAACGAATCGTGATCGGTAAGTATTCCATTAAAATTGTTGGTTCATATTTCAAATACTATATTATTATGTTCAGTGACGAAGGCTTGACTGATAGGTTGACAAGTTAGATTGGACCGGTAGGTTGATTAGTTAGTTTAGACCGGTTGGTTGATAAGTTAGCTTGGACCAATAGGTTGACAAGTTAGATTGGACCGACAGGTTGACAAGGTAGGCGATTAACGCACTGTACCGCGCCACGCAACAGTGTGCGGGACGCGGAATCACGCGCGCGGTGGCAGAGACGCAGATCTGCGTCAACGAGCTGTTTAATCTCCGCGGGGGCAACGGTCTAGCGGCTCCGCGCCACTTAAAGTGCTCACTTCGTTGTAGATAGCCGTAGTGATTGTACACGTTGTTGAGGTCCTTTTTGACAAAACAGAACTCATTCAGGCCGCTGCAGTTGTACTGTCTATTTGGTTTTTGTTTACACAAATAAAAAGACACCGAAGATATTGGATCCCTTTTTACGAACCAGACCGATAAATTGATCATTTCAACTTCATTAAAAAGATTTAAGAAAATATGAAGATAAATTTTTTAACTTCACACCTATGTCAACTGAATCTTTTCATTATTTGTTAGAGAACATCCGAACAACAATTACTGGTATAGACACGTATTGATAAAAAATCTGTGCGGTAGTGCGGAGTGCAGTGTGCCATACCCTGCGGTTCGCCGGGGGCGCGGTACTACCGCGCGTGACGCGCTCCCGCACGGAGAAGCGTAGTCAGTGTGTTGGATGGCGCGTATTTTCCATATAAACTGAAGTACTTCGGATGCGGTGCAGTGTGTTAATCGCCTTAGATTGGACCGATAAGTTGGCGGCTCGGGGACATGATGACGTCCATCTGTGATGTCTGGACATTCTGGCAGAGATGGACGCGCGCCTCCGCTAGGCGGAGGAAGCTGCACCGCCGGAAGTGAGGTGGCACGAGCGCCTACGAGCGCTCGAGAAGTGGCGCGAGAGGCTGGAACAGCCGTGGCTCTCGCACCAGCGTGCCATCGGCGCGATCATGTCCATCCTCGAAGTATGGTTGAGCCAGCGGAAGTGCGTCACCACGTTCCGATTGACACAGATACTCACGGGGCACGGATGCTTCGGTGGGTATCTGAATCGGATCGGACGCGAGTCGATGACGCAGTGCCACCACTGTGAGAGGGACCAAGATTCCACCCAGCACACACCACATGGGCCCACCCCGCATGGGCCTCCGAGCGGAACATCCTGGTTGCCCGGATCGAGCGAGATTTCTCTCCGCCAGGCATAGTAGCGGCTATGTTGGCGGATCAAGTGTCCCATGAGTTAGTGGTCTCCTTCTGTGAAGCGGTGATGCTTCAGGAGGAGGTCACCGAGCGTGATCGGGAGAGGGCCAATCCCGCTCGGCAGCGGCGTACTTTCGCGGCGGCGGGCGATCGGAGCGGGGGCTTCGTTCGCCAGTAAGTTAGGCAGCCGCGAGGAGGTCAACGGGGCGGTGTGGCCCGCTTCGTCGTGAGGAGAGGAGGGGGAGGACGTAGCTCCTCCTAGGTGCTAGGGAGGTTCCGGTGCGAAAACTCGATTCCAGATCCTTCCCACTAGAGTACCCGAGAAGGCCACCGTGGGGTTCTAGCCGGTAGAAGTCATAACCTTGTGACGGTGTGACCTCCTTACACCGTCATCTCACCTTTTTGTATCGCGTCTCTCCGCTTGTATCCTATTTTTTTTTATTTTACTTGTATTTAAATTTTAAATTTGAATTGTTCCATCTTCCTTCACTTTCTCATTTTGTTTTCGTACCACGGTCACTCCCAGCTCGACCGCCACAACAGTCGGAGCTGTTCCAAATTCCATCGCGAATAATCGTTAATTCTGGTTCTTTGCTACGTTTATAATCATTTCATAAGCTAAATCATGTGTAATAATTTATAAGTCTACAGCCGTCGTGTACCTATATCTGTAATTCTGTTACTCGGCCCATTTAGGGGTAAGTGCCTTAATAATAGTGTAGGGAGTGTTTTATACTGTTGCACCTGTTTTTTTACACTTACCTTTGTATTGTTACAGCCCTTTCTTTAAACTTTACTTCTTTAATAAATTTTGTGGACCGGAAGTTTCCCGTTTCATTGCCGTGAACCTGTTCACGGCTAGTTAGGGTTACAACCCTTTCAACCTCCCGCTGCCCTCGCAGGGGAGAGATATCTTAGGAAGATTTACTTACGCAAAAAAGGACCGATAGGTTGGCAAGTTCGATTGGACCGATAGGTTGGCAAGTTCGATTGGACCGATAGGTTGACAAGTTAGATTGGACCGATAAGTTAACAAGTTGATTGGACGGATAGGTTGACAAGTTAGATTGGACCGATAGGTTGACAAGTTACATTGGATCAATAGGTTGACAAGTGAGATTTTTTATTTTTTACAATAATTGACGGGACGAAGTCGTGCGTCTGGTGGTAAGCTACACGCCTATTCATAACAGTTGCAGTGCCATTCAGAGCTTTAAATCGCAAAGATCTGAGGCGCACTGCCACTGCGCCCGTCAACCTGAGACATGAGTTAACAAGTCCCATGTGCCTGTAATTTCACTAGCACCCTACCCTTCAAAACCGGAACACAGTGCTGACATTACTGATTGGCGGCAGAAATACGTACGTTGGCAGGATGACGATTCACGAGGAGTTCTACTGCTACTTGATTGGTTGATAGATTGCGGACCGGTAGGTTGTGATAGGTTAGTATGGATCAATAGGTTGATACGTTAGATTGGTTGTTCGGTTGCGGAATTTTAAAGAATCTTCTATTTGGAGCCTTAGTTGCCTAGTCTTTAGTTGGTTAATATAAACTTACCAGTAAAAACATTATCTTTCCGAAACGTAGACCTAATTTTTGAAAGGTGTACCTTACTTGCAGGACAAGCAATGGCAAAAGCACCGTGATTAACGCGATGTTACACGACAAGATCCTACCGAGCGGCATCGGGCACACAACCAATTGCTTCTTGCAGGTGGAGGGCTCTGATACAGATGAGGCATTTTTACGCACCGAGGGCTCTGAAGAGAAGCTTAATGTACAGGTATTTACATTATTGTTATTGTTGACTATTCAAGGCTAGATTAAAAATAGTACATTGTGTATTCCTGTACGGTCGTACGGTGTAGGATGGTAAATAAGAAATTACTAACGAGGGTCTCCATAGATAATACAATTCGAACTAAAATGTTGTAAAAAGAAAAAAAAAAGACGCATACAGCTGTGATGAATTGTAAAAAAAATTGCTACATTTTCAGAAAATAATTAAAATCAATTATAGGAAATTGTTATACTTATTGTTTTCAAGTAGTATGTGAATGTTTTAATTTTGAACTTATGTAACTTCATTGCTTGAGCTTGAACTTGACTTATGTAAGGCAGTATGTCGTGACTCAAATTAAAAATATACTTCTTACCGACCATGGCGGTAATGGGGAAAAAAACACCCAAGGGTTTTTTTTATTTGGGGCAATAGAGTCAACCACCATGCAATCATACTATTAACGTGCAAGTATGATGAAAAATATTTTTTTAGACAAACTCGTACCAGTATCATGAACCCATGTATATATTCTACTGCTGTGCCACCACTCTAATAGTTACAGTACAGGTAGTACCCGATAAATAGGTGTAGTTATCCGTCATATTATTTATTATTCTTAAAGTATAACACATATATTAAATATGGACGCAACCGCAGACCTGTTGAAACGCGCAGAAATAGATATGAGGAAATGCTCCAAAAATAACTCGCAAAGAGCGTAAACTATGTCGATAATGTACAGCACAGGTTAATTAAGAATACATAACAGGTATAAACCATGGAAGTTAAAATAGCCCTAATAACGTTTATTTACATTATTATGCCATATTAGACATATACATATAACATAAAAACATTAAATATAAAACCAAACATTACATACAGAACCAAAGCATTTAGTTACAGTCAACATGGTACATTTCTGGAGCTAAGCCAACACTATATAATAACAGTGAAAACAGCTTCCAGTTTAACTCTATCGCTTAGATTTAAGAACTACTTGTTAAGCTATTTTTAACCGACTTTAAAAAAGGGGAAAGGTTCTCAATTGGACGATTCTTTTTCTTATTTTTGTTGGAAAGAGCGTACCTCTAAGGGTGGCAAACTAGGGAATGAATCCGGGTTCGCGCACTTTTCGGTAACAGATTTCTTTAAAACTTGGCAATTAGATGTAATACCACGAACTTTTGGTGGTCGGTTTGTTTTATACAAAAAGTTATTGACATGAAAATTACACGCTCTTAGTTACTACACTTGAAATATTAAACTATGTAATGAAGGATATACACTTCTGGACACATAATTCGAGCCACCACGCATTTTCAGTATTAAGTGTCCTAAGCTTAAACAAATGTTTGATTTTGAAACTAGTATACTAAACGTTTTTTCCATAAGTCCTTGTTGGGAATTTGGATTTGCAAAACCGGGGGAAAACTTTTTCTTCGATGATAACACTATTTTTGTATTCTAACCCTTTACGACAAAAATGCGAGGTGACTCGAATTACGTGTCCGGGAATATATAAAGCCATGGTAGTGTAATGGTTTGAGTTGTCTCTCGAGCACGTGCCGTGGGTTAAAATTCTGAGTTTTCGGAATTTATGTACGAAGTTTAACTTCAAATTTACCATGGGCTTTTCGGGGAAGGAAAACGTGAAGAAATCTGTAGATCGAAGAAGGGTCACGACTCTCGGAAAACGTGTGAGGACACACACACTCGAACACACAAACACTCATAAACATGCAGCATAATAGGTACACCTATTGTTCGATTACGTAACTTAAAATATAGCCATAGTTAATTGGTTTTTATTTTCAACTAAGCATTTCTTTTGTCGTCAAAAAAACGTCGTTGAAAAAACCAAATATAAAAACACGACAACAAACACGGAAATAGTGCTCTAGTTCGTGCCGTGGCTTAGTTGGTATAGCGTCTCGCACGGTATGCTAGAAGACGTCGGTTCGAATCCGGCCGGATCGAAGGAATTTTTTCTGAGTTTTCGATCTTTGTATTGATAATTATAACAAACTAGTGGAGTAATTTCACTTAAAAAATAATTGAATATCAATTCAGTAAAAATTTAAATACAATGCATAGCGACATCTCTAGCCAGGGCTGGTAGCTGTAAATTTATCTAACTGGGTGTCGAAATACTTAAGATTTGTCATAGATGGCGCTACGGCTAAAAAGTCGTTGAAAAACCATTTGGTTTTTCAACGACTTTTTAGCCGTAGCTTTGTATTTACAAAGACACGACAACAAGCACATAGAAAATTTCGTGAGGTCCGCTGGTTCGTTTCGTGGCTTAGTTGGTATAGCGTCTGCCACGGAATGCTAGAAGACGTCAGTTCGAATCCGGCCGGATCGAAGGAATTTTTTTTGAGTGTTCGAGCTTTGTATTAATATATCCTACATTATTTCTCTCGTGAGTTTGGATGTAATTTGTGGTTGTTTATGTGTGTGTCCATGGCACCCGCGACACAGGGTTTCTCTAGTGCGGGGCAATGTTGAGTGTGTGCGTTAATAATTATAACAAACTAGTGGCGTAATTTCACATAAATAATAATTGAATATCAATTCCATAAAAATTTAATTCTTGTTGCTACTTGCTTTGCTTCCCACGAGACAGACGAAGCCTAGTGTAGGGATCATAGTTCAAATATTAAAATTGTTAACCCTAAGTTATGGTAAATAAATAAAATAAATTTCTAATTACAGTCTGTGAGCCAGTTAGGGCATGCACTGTGCGCGTCTCGACTGCAAGAATGTTCGCTCGTGCACGTGTATTGGCCTCGAGAGCTGTGCGCTTTGCTAAGGGACGACGTCGTATTAGTGGACAGCCCTGGAGTCGATGTTACGCCGAATCTCGACGAGTGGATCGACAAGTACTGCCTCGACGCGGACGTGTTTGTGCTCGTCGCCAATGCCGAGTCTACGCTTATGGTTACCGTAAGTGTTACATGTACACCGTCAATAATAAATTTAAAAAAAGTACTTGGTATCAGCAAGGTATGCCATATGCCTGGTTACAAATATAATTTTAAAAGTTTAATATGCGGTATAAAATACCGGAATGTGAATTTAACTGCCTCTGTGGCCGAATGGTTACCATGCCGGACTGCCACGCAGAGATCCCAGGTTCGATACCTAGACCGGGACAAATATTTGTATGGCCTACATTTATTTCGCTCGTGAGTTTGGGTGTAAATTGTGGTTGTCTATATGTATATCCATGACACCCGCGACACAGGGTTTCCCTAGTGCAGGGCTATGTTAAGTGTATAAATTAGTCTTTATTAGGTATAAGGCTGTACCTACATTCAAATGAATGTGAATCGGTCTATAAAAATTATAAATGTAAAATACCGGAATGTAAATTAGATTTTCTAAGGTATAAGACAGATTATTACTTTCAGATGAATGCGAGTCGATCTTTAAAAGTTTATAATATAAGGTATGAAATACCGGAATGTGAATTTGTCTCTATAAATCACGAGGCATTAATAGTGAAATGGTGCTTATAAGACATAAGGCAGAATCCTACATTCAGATGAATGTGAATCGTTCTTTGAAATTTAAAGCATGAGGTATAAAATACCGGATTGTGAGTTTGTCTTTATAAAGTATAAGGCAGATTTTTTTTAATATGCAGTGACGGGACAAACAAATTGAGCTACACGCCTGTCTATAACAGTTGCAGTGCCACTCAGAGCTTTAAGTCGCAAAGATCTGAATTCCATTGCCACTGCACCAGTCACCCTGAGATATTAGTTGACAAATCCCATGTGCCTGTAATTTCACCAGCAAAACCGGAACGTAGTAATGCTCACATTACTGTTTGGCGGCAGAAATTGGTAAGGTGGCAGTACTTCCCTTGTGGAGGTCTTTCACAAGGAGAGCTCTACTGCTACTTAGAGTGATACGACAGACGAATGGCTTTCGGTCTTTAAAAGTTATATTATTATTTTGTTTAAGTAAGGTATGAAATACCGGAATGCGAATTTTAGCAGACATAACTATGTTACGGGAATGTTATATAGTAGATTGTACAACAAATGCGTAAAACGCGTCATTTTACCCGAGACGAGTATATACTACTAGATACTTAAGTCGAGAGTAAAATGGGTTTTGTGAACGAGTTGAGAGAGAGAAATTAAACAAAAATTACAAATAAACGATTTTTTAATTGAAATTGAATGTAAAATTACAACAATTAGACATATTTAATGTGATGTTTTTTTATTTTATGCACTCGAGCATAAAATCCTATTTTATGCAGCCTACACCCAGCATAAATACGAACTTTAAGAGCATGAGAAGTGAAAAATGTATTAATGTGTTTGTTTTGCAGGAGAAAAATTTCTTTCACAAAGTTTCGACAAAGATATCACAACCAAACATTTTCATACTCAACAATCGATGGGACGCATCCGCATCCGAACCAGAGTACTTGGAGCAGGTAAGGTAACTTTATTTACATACTTAGCTCATTTGTTTTTATGATTATCAAGTGATGGGAAGTACAAATCGTGCATCTGGTGGTAAGCAACACGCTTGTCCATAACTATTGCAGTGGCAATCATGGCAAAGGTCTGAGGAGCATTGCCACTGCGCACATCATTTAAGACCTAAAATTAGCAAGTCCCATGTGGACTGTTGTCCAGAACTAGATCACAAATAGTTTGTCTCATTTTGAGTTACATGGATATCTTTTAATTTTGTCTTACAATATTCTAACGATGGTTTTATTGACATGTATTGAATCAAATTTTACGTTAAGTAATAGCATAATCTTGAATTTCACGTATTTTGAGTTACAACATTATTGAAATAGCAGTGCGATGTATTCAAGATTATGCTATTATAGAGTATTCATATGTATTTATTGCGAAAATACTCCACTTGTTTGTTATTATTATTGTTAAAAAGGACCACAAAGAATAAACATGATTATTCAATAAAAGACAGTCTTGCTATTTGGTCTGCCTAGGTCCGCACGCAACATGCAAACCGATGCGTGGACTTTCTGTCGCGCGAGCTTCGCGTCTGCACGCCCAAAGAAGCCGAGGAGCGCATCTTCTTCATCTCCGCCAAAGAGGCGCTGCTCACGCGCATGCGGGAGAGAGAGAAGCCAGTCTCGTGTGAGTACATTGCGGCATACAGATTCTCCAAAATTTGAACAATTGTTTTTGTTGAGAACGAACTTAAACAAGTGGTTAAATTAAAATTATTTCTATGCCGTCATACCTCGTATGTGATTTGAACGTTTTTCAAAAGAACAAAAAGTGTGTACTAAAATATACTAAACACATGTTTTTTTGCATTAAATTACATTATACCTCTATTAGGTGCTATATTATGAAATACATATCGACTGTGAACTGGCAACCGGTACTATCTTAATTTTGACAACTTTACATTGACTTTACAGAAAAAAAATTGTCATTTATATAGCATCTGGTTTATTAAACAAAAATACGTAGTGTTCTTCTTAGGGTCGTATTCCAGAACTGTACTCAATGCTCAAGTCAGGATTTGAGCAGACTTGAGTATGATTTCTAGTGCTTTGAATCATGCTCAAGTCAGGATTGCACTGGAAACACAAGCATTGGAAATACGACCCTAATGGCAGGGACTTGAGTATCATTTTCAGTGCTCACTGCAATACTCAAGTCCTGACTTGATAAATGAGTAGAGTTCTAGAATACGACTCTTAGTGTGTCGACTCTGACGTTTATATTTGAGAACCAGTTCTCAGCGACTGACACTACATTGTCAGTGGCGTTGTACAGGTCCTCGCCTGTGCAGGTGTAGGCACGTAAGACATGACAAAAGATGTGCCATAGTCTGGGGAAAGACACCACAAATACATGCGCTTTCAGAGCTGTAACCCCACCTATGTATGCTCTCCTTGCTTCGGCCGACTTGGGTCCGCAGTCTATTTAAAGACTTCCAAGTGTGCCAAGGTACATTAAGGATTTCAAGGAGGATTTAAAATTAACATTTCGCAAATTTTAAATACGCTTTTATAGGTTATGTAAGGAAACCCGCTAGTGTGACTCAATTTCATTCAATTAATTAATCGATTTGTAGTTGGCAGTAAAATTGGCCATCACTAAACCGTCTATGGTCAGGTAATTATTATTATTATTATCAATTAATACACTAGCAGCTCTGCGAGCTGATGCGTGTATATCACTGCACTTGTATATTATTAGTTTCCAAAATGTTTATCAAGTCTAGCTTTGAAACTGTTCACTGTCTGTGCACTAATAACAGTTTCTGGGAGCGAATTCCACAAGTTCACAACGCGAAATGGTAAGAAGTGTTTTCTAGGGTTGCTAGCACACGGAGGCATGTTTAACTTTAGAGAGTGGCCTCTCAATTGATGATTATGATTCAATATGTACATATTTTGCATATTGCGCACATTGTAGAACCCATTGAGTATTTTGTAAGTCTCTATGAGATCTCCTCGGTTCCTTCGCTGCTCCAAAGTAGTTAATTTTAGTTCATGGAGGCGCTCTTCGTAAGATAAGTTTTTTAAAGACTGAACCATTTTCGTTGCTCTCCTTTGTACTTTCTCCAACATAAGAATGTCCTTTTTGAAATAAGGACACCAAATTTGAAAAGCATATTCCAATAATGGACGTATATATGTTTTGTATATTTGGATAAATAACTCCTTAGTAATATTGTAAAATGCTTTTCTTATCATGTACATCATAGAATTAGCTCTTCTGGTTATGGTTATGATGTGTACGTCCCATTTAAGGTTACTGGTTATTGTAACACCAAGATCTTTTTGTGCATTAACAGCCTGAAGAGTTATGTTATCCACAGTATAACCAAGTTTCGGATTACTATTTCCAATATGCAATACTGTACACTTTGTAGCATTCAATGAAAGAAGCCAGAGTTTTGTCCATTGTACAATGCGGTCCAAATCCTGTTGTATGGTATTGTGAGCTATTAGAGGGTTTCCTATAAGCTTGGTATCATCTGCATATATTGACAGGTCTGACTGAATGACATTCTTTAAGTCTGTGATGAAGATAACAAACAGAATTGGCCCAAGGACCGATCCTTGTGGGACGCCACTGTGAACGTCAAAATCATCTGACAGAGTATCACCTACTCTTACTTTAAACTTTCTGTCACTTAGGAAGTTCTCAATCCACTTTAGGAGCTGTCCACGGATTCCAAGGTGACTGAGTTTCGCAATTAGCCTTTTAATAGGGACTTGGTCAAATGCCTTCTCAAAGTCTAGATATATCACATCAGTAGGGTGGCGCTTATCCCAGTTGTGTGTCCATTTGTCAAGGCACGTGAGAAGATTCGTAACTGTAGATCTCTTTGGTACGAAGCCATGCTGTTCATCTACGATAATGTTCTCCACATTGATAAAAGTTCTTAGCTCAGCTGCCACAATCTTCTCCATAACCTTACAAACAATGCTCGTCAAACTTATGGGACGGTAATTAACAGCAACATACTTGTCACCTTTTTTATATATGGGAGTAACATGTGCCTTTTTCCACTGTTGTGGTAATCGTCCATTAGTAAATGATAAATTCATAATGTGCGCTAACTGCTGGCTTAAAACATTGCTACATTTTTTTAATAATATTGCCGGCAAGGCATCTGGTCCCATAGCAGTAGAGTCATTGAAAGTTTTTAAAGCTTTGGCTACTTTCTCTGGTGTGAAGGTCAGCAGTTCTATTGTATTTACTACTCTTGGCATTTGTACTTCTGGGATTGACACATTTGAGGGTTCTATTACAAAAGATTTTTCGAATTGACGAGCAAATAAGTTGGCGATTATCTTTTGGTCACAAGTAATATTTCCACTATCATCTTTTAACAACATGGGAACCGAAACTGTTGAGTGCAATTGTTGTCGTACGTAAGAATAAAATGTTTTAGGTCCACTTTTTACAATCCCTTTTTCAAACTCCATTCTGAGCTTCCGGACTTTATTTACCAATTGGTTATTAACCTTCCTATATGCTTTATATGCAGCTTCAGAACCGTTTTGGGTGTACTGTTTCCACAGATCCATTTTGTGATCGACTTCATCTAATATTTGTTGATTAATCCACGGTTTATTGACATTAGGTCTTTTAAATTTAGTTTTCAAGGGAATGTTTTTTTCAATAGCACTATGAATTTTTTGTGAAAAATTTGT